AGCAACATAGTACATGTTGCTAATGATATAGCCACTAGAAAGTTTCAGTAACATGGTTCTTGTTGTTAAAAGTGAACTTCAGCAAAAAGAACCATGTTGCTGAAAGTGAAGAACATTTGCTTGGCTATTTAAGTATCAATAACATGGATCTTATCGGTGAAAATCCATATCACCGACATGCTCCCATATTGTTAAAAGGTGTACCATTTGACAAGCGGATCCATGTTGCTGAAAAAGAGAATTTTAGTAGTGTAAATTAAATATTTAAATTGAATTAGATTTAATATTTTTTAATATTTTATGAGAAACAAGAATTTTGTAAAAATTCCCAAGTGAAAAAAATTCTTCACAAAATTTGATTAAAAAAAAAAAAAACCCTTATGTCCTTACTCCATAAGAAGAAATATTCCTGCTTACCTTGCCCTGCAGCGAGAATCTTTATAAAACCTTACAGGGATAAAAAAAATTAAAGTAACATCCCTAATAATGAAGGGAGAAGAACCACCCCAACCAAAGACTATCCTGCTATCCAAGAACAAACCGCAATGAGCAGCACACAACAACACTCCTATTGTTGAAACCCCAGAGACTAGAGAGAGTTGGGGTGGCAAAAGACAAGCATGTAGATGTTTTAATGTTAAACAATACATATAATCTCGAATTTCTTCTTTGTATTTTAATTTCACATTCTTTTTTGTCATCATTCAATATAAAATTATTTTTTCATCATTATTGTGATATATAAACAATTTAAGAGATTGAATCATATTTGAGACTAACGGATGACCTAACAATCTAATCATTATTTTACCTAAAATTTTACCATTAGGAGTTTATAAATTGATAGGGAATTCTCTAAATTCCAAATTCAATCAAGATTTTCTGGCCCATAGCAAGTATAGAATGTCGTCGACCGCAGCGCCACTCACAAAGACAAAGAGAGCTCCCCTTTCTAGGTTAAAAGTTTCTTTCCTTTTTTATTTTTTATAGTAGCGGATAAGGAAAAAATGTAATCCTACTAATTTTTGTAGTGAGAAAATTACAATTTAGTTACTTATGCCTTAAGATAAATGTCTATAAATACTTAAAGTTTTAAAATATACACATAATATACCTATAATTTTACGTACATGTAAATTAAGATTCAAGATATCAAATATGCATATAAACATATGAGATTTGTACTTTTGTAAATAGCTACTTAAAATTTCTTAAAAAGCCCTAATTTAAAAGAGTGAAAATAAAAGAAAAATAAAGGTAACAAGGACATTTCATGCAATCTCATGTAATTATGTTCATATACTATGAACTTGAGTTTCTTATTTGCATATTTTGAAATTTTATATATTTATGTGCACTTACCTTAAATAAAAAGTGTCATATTTATATTTTATTAAATCCCAAATCTTTCTATACATTAATCCTAAACAACAAGTAGCTAAAATGTAATTTCTTCTTTCATGTTTTGTTAAAATTGTAAAGACTAAGGGTCTAGTAATTCATGTACTTGTCTAAGGAATTAATCACAAAACCCTAAACCTTTAGGGTATGTTTGGTTGGAGAAAACTTTTTCTCTCAAACTTTTTCCTTTATAGGGTTATTTATGTACTCTCACATCTCCTTTTTGGGGACTTTTCCGACTTCCATATTGGTTTCATGGTGAAGAAGTTGGATACCAAATTAGAAGTAGTATGGGAAAAGTACTTGAAATAGATGACTCTAGCTTAATTTGATAGTGTTGCCTTATAGTTATAGCTGTAGGTTTCTTATTCCTTTAATATCTCAAAAATATATAAAATATATTTAATATATTTAATATTTATTTTAATTAACATTTTATATACTTTTACAATAGAAAATGGATAAAAAAAAAAAACTAAAAGCTAAAGCACTAAAAAGCATTCTCAAATGATGCCCCTTTCACTAAAGCTTTGCGAGTTTGAATTTAGCTTGAAGTAAATAGTCTATTGAGGTGTTTTAAGAAGGTTACAATTTTAGTACTAGAAACTTGACAGTTCTGAATGAAATATGAAATATTGGCAAAGTTCCACTTCTTATGAGGATGTATAGGGCATTTGGTTTTTTTATTGTGGGATTGGATTTAGATTGAAGGAAGCCGGAGAGAAGGTATCTCATCTTTACAGAACATGGCTACATGTAGAGAGTGATTATTAGGGGTCAAAGACTTCTGAGGGGTTGGTTCTGGCTGATAGTAAGCTAATGTCCCCAAAAGCAGGCATTCAAACCAATATTGTGCAAAAATATGATTCCTTACTAGAGGGGGAGTCATCCAATGGAAATCATGATCATATAGAAAATGATCAAGCTAGGTGGAAGTTACTCGATGACATCTAGCTGGTCTGCAAGGAGCAAAACTTATTACTAACGACTTAAGTAATTTAGTAGTTATCTCCTTCCGTTGGAAGTAAGAGGTATTGAGTTTGAATCGTATGGCATGCGGGTGGGGTGAGATAAGGGATGAGAGATAGTTGCTTCCCATTGTGCAACCAAAAAAAAAAAAAAAAGGAGCGAAAACTTACTAATAAGAAGGTTAGGAATTCAAGTAAAAGAATAGTGGTGGATTCCTTAGGTCAACAAGAGTTAGCTTTCATTCTGGGGGATATTCACCTTAGTCACATTTCCAATTTGGTGAAGAAAAAGGAGTGCAGTCTAAAGAAGACAAGGAAAAGGCTTGGAAGGACCACTGAGTTACTTAATTAAGTTGTTGGCAAAAGGAATCTAGTTCAATCACCAAGTCAGAAGGTGAAAAGGAAGGGGAGGAGGAAAATGGTTCCTGGAGTGCTTAATGATGTTAAGGCATCCAAATATCATTGAGCACTCCAGGAACCATTTTCCTCTTCCCCTTCCTTTTCACCTTCTGACTTGGTGATTAAACTAGATTCCTTCCGCCAATGACCTAGTTAACTCAACATCCAAAGTAAAACTTGATGGAGTGGGCACTGCACTTGCCATGTAGGTGGATACCTTTCATCCATCTACTAGCTAATGGATCCCTTGAGTTTGGATAGAGTATTGTGGTGTTAGGAGACACTGCATTGCTAAGTCCTTTAATCTCATGTGCTAAGATTGAATGGTAAAATAGATTAGATTACCAACATCAACAGTGACCATAAACTTTACAATCTTTCTATGTTGTTATATAACACTATAGATACCCCTATGGCATATAGTAGTATTTAGAGATTCCCAATTCCTAATTATCCTATTCATAAGGAACACTTAAGGTCTATATGTTAGTGTTGTAAATCCTTCTTAACTTATTTATATTTCCTATACAATCTATATGTTAAGATATAGTTTACATTGTAATTCTCTTAACCATAAATGCAACTATATTTTCCAAAAAAAAATATTATAACAAAAGGAGGGTACATTTTAATCTATATTTTCCTTTATACAATTTCAAACTGGTAAATTTTTTTTCTCACACTTTTTGAAAATAAAAAAGATTTCTTCTAACTTATATTATGTGAAACTCCCTTGACAACTTTCTTATAAATTTTCTTTATATTAATTTGTTATTAAATACAAAAAAATTAATAACCCAATAAAATTTTGATAATACTATGCTTATAATGCCAGGTAAAATTTTAAATTTATAATTATAATATAACATGCATATAACATAGCATGAATAAGTAAATGTTAACATAAACCCTTAAATGAAAAAGAATAAATTATATAATAATAATATA